GACACTGCTTGGCTCCATGGAAAGCCCTTGCTCCTGCCCGCTGGATGGAGGGTCTCGGTGATGGAGCAGGAGCGACTGCGGAGCGGAGCGATGGTTGAGGGTAGGTTGGTCTCCCCGGTCAGCACCGAGGCCCCACGTGCAGCTCCGCTGTCTCCTGTCTTCCCACACGGGCCAGGGGCCGAGCCGGGAGGGCCCCTCGTGCCTCCACGCCGGCCCACGGGTCCTTCCAAGCTCGTGCCCGCAGCCCTTCCTGAGGAGCAGCCCAGCTCTGCAGCCCTGTTTGGCCCTCGTGGCCACGCAGCCCAGGTCACTCGGGATCATTCTCTTCCCAGCTGTTTCTCATTCCCAGCGATTTGTGGCACCCACGGCAGTGCTGTGTTTTGTGCTTGTTTCCAAACTGCGGGTGGAAGTGCCAGCCAGAAGGATCTGCTCCAAGCGCTCCCTCTCGTCCTGCCTGTCTGCCCGCCGGGTGCTGGACTCTCTCAGCAGGGCCTCCGCGTGCGCTGCTGCCGGCCGGGAATGTTGGCGGGTTTCATGGGACGTTGTGTGGTGCAAAGTCCAGCACCTTGCAGAGAACTAGCGATATCGGCGCATGCTCACAGCTGCTTTTGTCAACAGTTTCGTTTGGGAAAGGAGATGAGATGTGTCAGGAGACCCAGCTCCCGTTTAAAGCATCGTTTCCATTCCCTTGTTTTAACGTGCTGTCCGTTGGGTTTTGTACTGGCTCTTCCATTCTTGCTCAGGATGCAGCTCAGTCCAACACATCTGTCTGGGCTGATGCCGGCATCAAACCAGGCTCTGGAGGAGCTCTGATATCCCCAGCATAATCTGGGATGATCAGGCTGAGAGCATGGGAATCTGGGGGGGATGTTGAGGCCAACTTGCTCAGTTTGGGGATATTGGACATCAAACCAATTGCTCATCTAGCAGGGAAGGAGAGAGGAACGGTGCAAAGCCCGTGTCCGAGCTGGGGGCCTGGCCGTGCTACTCCTTTGCCAAGAGCTGCCCATTTCCAGCAATTCCTGTCCTGCCTGCTCTGCTCTTGAGTGCTCATTGCATTACACAATCCCTGGAGCACCAAAGGGCTAAGATTTTGCTTAATGGTGGTTTTTGTAAATCTCGAGTTTCTTTCTTTATTGCACTGTGTTTCGGGGTGATATTTTGGTCTTCGGGGAGACCAGGCCTACACAATGCAGCCGAAAAGGGAATAACGACGTGGTTGTCGTTACTAGCATATTTGTTCAGAGCTGAAATACAAATTCCCTGGCTTGTCTGAATTGCCGCTTCATCTCTATTTTCAGCTATATAAACATCTTTTCCCTTCAGCCTTTCGTCATCAGGAATCGTGAGGACCCCTAGTGACCAACCAGCACCACTGAGGAGCTCCTGTGTTCTGGTCAGATCCCTTCTGCCCTTTGCAGTTTGAAGGAATACTTAGAAATCCTTATTTAACAGGATACTGAACAAAGCCAGGATGTGCCCATCATGCAGCAAAGGTGAAACAGCTGCGGGTCCTCAGGGCTGCATTTATTTCAGAAAGTGGAAGATGCTGCTGGAGAGATGAGAGCGTGGAAAGGAGATGGAAACCTGCACAGAACCATGCAAAGGGGAGCATTTGAGCTCTGCTTTATAAATGGTGAGGGCTGAAGAAGGAGGAATAATCCTCACCAGGAATCATCAAAAAGTTGTTGGGCACTGTGCTAAATCTAGCAATGTTTGATATTTTTAATTGCTGCCTGATTTTTTTATGCCATTAGTTCTGCTTTGTGAAGCAGAACCTGCTTGAATTCAGGATTATTTTCGACATGTTTCACTGCAGGACCTCGGAAGTTCACAGAGCTTTAAAGCTCACCTGTTCTGTGCAATGGGGTGGCCAACACGACCGGGACGTGACGTGACTCGGGGGCTTCCGCGGGGCTTGGCTTTATCACCCCAGTGGTTTTGGGGGCCCTCCGTGCGGGCGGCGGGCGGCGCTTTGCAGGCGGTGGCCCCGCGGCAGGAGCGGCCCCGGGGCTGCGCTTTGCTCCATCTCCCGGCCCCGGTGCTCGGTGCAGGAGAGCTGCTCGCCTGGCCGGGCCCGCCGCCTGCCGGAGGAGCCGGGGCCTCTCCCGGGAGG